AAAACACAGTGTTTCGGGGACTTGATTCTGTCTCCGTCTTCATGTAAAACCTATTCAGTTGGACCCAATCAATAGAGCTAGTCCCTATCATTATATTCTTGTTTAGAAAAAAAATGTTCTATGTAAATAAAACAAAAGGTAAAGTTGTCCTTGTGCTTGACTAATTAAGCACAGCGGCATGAGGCATATGGGTGAGGGGATGTATACATCCACACTTTCTTGACCACGGATCTAGTTGGAGGTAAGTGGTCAGCTTCACGCCCTTGTCGCTTTACCCCCGGTACCCATTGGAAAGGAGGTTGGGTGAACCCCAGAGCCAGTCTGTACGACGTGGAAAAGAGAAAATTCTTGTCTCCACCGGGACTCGAACTCCAACCCCTCGGTCCTCCAGTCCATAGCCAGCCGCTATACCTACTACACTAACCCAGCTCCTATGTAAATAAAAAAGTGCAGTCTCAATTATAGTGTTCAAATTTGGGCGGCTTTATTGAATGCTGCAAATTAAATCTTGGTATATGTTGAGATATTAAATGCATTTTTCACAGTTCTTTCTTTCAGGATCTGAAATTGGACAATGTGAGTAAAAATTACTACTCTTTTCCTATCCATATAAGAATCTAAAGTGGCTGATCCATAGTTCTGGTGATATTTTGACCAACAAAATAAAATCTAAGATAAGTTTCGAATTTGTATATACAAATATTTTAATATACTAATTTAATCAACATTTGTTTAAAAATTCATAACGTTCCACATAGAATTTCATATCTTTCAACATGGTGCATTTTAGTCCTGTATCTCACATATCTCTTATAAAATCTTGATTTCTTTATCTTAAGTTAAAAATAATATTCTCACCAGCAACTTGTTGTTTGAGCGTCCACTGACAATTATACTGTACCAAGATTAAAAACTGAAATTATATACAAAAACCCAATTAAATGAAACACAAGAAATATGATGCAAAGCTCTGTTCCTTATATTCTTATCTTCAGCATTTTGGAAAGCAGAGAGGATAGCAACACTTTCCACAGTGAATAACAAGCATTTCCATACTATCTTCTCCTAGTTTCATCATGGATCTCATATTACCCAGTGATGTTCCCAGGTGCCCTACATTTTTAAACATTCTCTACTTATTTATTATACATTCATGGGTGCTGCAGGGACTTTTCCAGGATTCACAGGAAGAAAATTTGCTTTCAATCTTCCAGGCTGCTCTAGAGAATTCATAACAGAAAACTAATTACACGTTCTGGTATTAATCCTTGGTATACTTCCGTTTCCAATTTTGATCTTTTTTTTTTTTTAAATCCAGGGAGAGGCAGGCGCCTCAACTGGTAGTGGCCGTTTATACACAGTTATACATTACAATTTCATTGCCAATTCTGGTTTAATGCCATGCCTCTTAGATGTACTCATATTTAGTTTTAGACCATTTTCTTGGCTACTCTATAGGAGAATTTCCGCCTTCGTCTTTACAGTGTTTACGTTCTCGCTCACAAATTAAAATTGCAAACACAAACAAGTAGCTGGCTCAGGTCATCCCATTCCAGCCCTTCCTGAATCTCTTGAGCTTTCCAGAAGACATATTCCAGGTAAGGGAAATGTTTGAGGCCCTGCCATACCTCAAGTGGCTAGTTACTGGTTTCCCACTGTGAAGGCCTGAGTTTGACCACAGGTCAGGTCATGAGAGATTTGTGGTGGAAAAGTGGCACTGGGGCAGCTTTCTCAAAGTACTTCAGTTTCTCCTGCTAATTCTCATTCCACTGACTGACCCATCATACTCATTGGTCATCCAGGGTTGATACAACAGGCCCACTAGTGGCCAGCATACCATCTGGTCTCATTTCACCCCAACCCCATTAATCACTCAAATGTAAAATTTTCCTTGTGCTTAATTAAACATTATACCACGAAGACACATGGGGGAGTGGAAGTACTACTCCATGCATTCTTAACCTCATCATTAAATGGAGGTAAGTGGCTGCTCTACTTCTACAGGAGCTTTTGGTTCCACTGGACAGGAGGATGGGGTGTAGCCTCACAGCTGGTCCCTACCAGAAATTGAATCCTGATTCTTTGGTTTTCCGGCCTATAGCCTAGTTGCTGTACCAATTAAGCCATTCCAGCTCTTTGTACAGCAAAATTAAAAGAACTGGTGACAGAGCTTCATCTTGTTCCTTCCCACTGTCAACAGATAAAGCATCTAATAAGTGTTCATCTAGAATTCAACCACATTTGTTTCTCAACCTCTTCAATCTTGCACCGCACTGGTAATTCTGTCAAAAAAAAATAGACCTCAATATTAAAAACACAGCTTCCTTCTTCAAACAAGTGTGCTTTTGCAATCATATACATATATTAATTATATTAATGGAAGTTCTTGTTTTGATAGCTCATAGTCCATGAAATTTCAGCAATGGGATGTGTGACCAAGCAACCGTCGCTTGTTGGCAAAGTTAGTGCCAACTTCAGCCGTTAATCTCGGTTTTCTAGACCGGAGCCACTATTTCCTTGAAATGGCTCCTCAATTATCCTCACTAGGCTGAGTGGACCCCGTTCCAGACCCACTACTTCTCAGGAAATCTGGTAGCATCAGAACCCAGACCACTGGATCTGTAACCAGGAACTCTGACCACCAGACCACAGAGGCGGTCACATTTTTATATGTATGGACTCTCAGGAATGGTAAGAATGTGTTATGACTGGCAGACAGATAATTTAAAGAGCAAAGAAATTAAAGGAGGAAGTGGAATCATTAGGTTTGGCTTATATTTGGCAATACAAAACTGAGACTAATACAAATACGTTATGTAAAATAATCAAAGAAAGGCGTTGCAATATAGGACAGATGTATTTTTGAATAGGGGAACAGACTTCTTTGGTGTTTTACTGTGTAATGAAACAAAAGTGCGGTGAAGACAGTTGTAATGAGGAATGCAAAAGAAGATAGGAAACAAAGGGAATAGCATGGCTGAAAACAGGGATCTGGAAATTAAGAGGGATCAAGAGAAGGTGTGAGAAAGGAAGGTGTTCTGATATGAAAAGTCGAGATGAATTTGTATACAGCAAATGGCTGAACATAAATGAGGATACAGCAGACATGAAAGTTACAAACTCTACAAATGTAACAGTTAAAATCATCTGAAAGTATTTATTCAAGACTAGATACAAATGGTAGAATAGAGTTAGAGGGGCACAACCCCCACATACCACCAACCACCAGGGAATAAGGTAATGTCCTTGTGCTTAACTAATTGCGTACTAATGCCATGAAGGCATATGGGGAAATGGATGTCTACATCCATGTTTTCTTGACTTCAACACTAGTTGGAGATGAGTGGTTACTAGTGAATAGAAACATAGAATTAGAAAACTGGCTGAAAGAATATAAAAGATAGCCGAAATAAAACTGGTGCAGTAATGGGAGTATTAGTAGAAGTAACAATAATAGTTAACTTGACTTGCACTAATGAAAGTCGCTATATATGTTACCGCAAGGTCTTGGTGTTATGTGAACACAAATTTATGTACAGTAATGAAATAACTGCTCAACACACTTTATGTTACTTTATATTTTAATAAACCCACTAAACCCTATCAAAAGAGTACACAGTACTTCTTAAAACCAAATTACAGGCATTATTAAAATCGATAATACTTGATTTATTTACCATTTTTCTCTATCATTTGTCAAATGCAAAACACTTTATCAACAGCTGGTATAATATGGAATTCAGAGCAATCATCAACAGTATATAATTCTTTCACAAACGGTGTTAATGACAGTAGATTACTATATAAAATTTTGTATGCCACTGAAAAGAGATTCCTCACAAATTACTGCAGTCTATTTTACCTCCCATTTTATTACAAGAGAAAAATAATTATTTCAATTGTTGCGGTAACCATTCTTCATTCCAAATAGAGACTGAATGAAGTACCTGTTACTGGTAGTACTTCAATCGGAGAAAACTGCCTAATAAGGAGCTCCATGGTATATTTCATGCTGCCATTTAAACCTAAATAGTCAGAGTTACTGATGGCATCATAAAATAAATTACAAAATACTAACAGAATCTCAACAAATACTGGAGAGTAAACCCACAGAATCAAGTAGTCACATAATCAAATACCTACCAACTTACCAGTTTTGCTGGCTATTGCACAGAAACATCAGTATGGTAGTTAAACTGGCAACCACATACACACTACCATAATAAAGCTAACAAATAGGTGCTCAGACTTTGTTACACAATGTGACTAAAAATATCCAGTGTTAAAGGACACTATGAGTTCCAAATATGAATCACTCCCTCCAATGTGACCTGTAAGTTTTTACTACATGAAAACACTATGAGTTCCTTACCCATTTACTAAGCAACAGCAGGAGCAATATAATGTAGCTACAAATAATGTCAGAGGCCAATTAAAAGTACACACGACATAGGAATCACTTATAAATCCTCTGAAATGAGGAAGAATTTAAAATACCTGAGAATACAAAAATTCCCAGAATTATTTTCATGACAAAATTAAAGACAGATTAACCTATGTTCAGAATATTTTATCTTACAACCTAACCTCAGTATAAAACTGAATTTTGTCTCGTGTTTTCTGCAGTATAAAAACTGTCTCTCAATCTGCTAGGGAGAGACAGATCGAGGATTATATTGGAACAAATTGCTGTGAAGAAAATTCAGAACTGAGAGGGGTGATTCATAAGGAAAAGGGAGAAAACTGTACAAGAGCTTCAGAATTTGAACTTTTCATTTAGTATTGGTAAGATGATTGATACAAAAACATTATAGGAGGAAACGTCAGCAGAGATGGCAGGAAAATTTCAAAATAAATACAAAGACACAGGATGTGGAGATATAAACTGGACTAAAATGGCTCACAAAAGGATCTAATGGAGGGATTTCTGTGATGACAGTGATAAGCCTTAGGATTCCAGTTTAGCAGGAAATATCTCAATCAACTCAAGACTATCCAACTGCTGGAGTTACAATGCACCAGTTTTCATAGTTTATTCAAGCAACATAAATGTGAAGAGGGCACAGCATTCAAGATTTAATTATACAATGTTGGCCAAGATTCCATCTTGTATGTTATTTCACTCATTTGTTCTGCATCAGTCGCTCTTCTGTTCCAGTCGGCATCCCAACATCAAACTTTAACAACAGCTTTTCCAATATTCTCTCCTCGTAGCATTCCTATAAATGCCTTTGTCATGTTTTCAAATCCTTCAGTCACTGTTTCCCTATACACCAGTTTTCCCTACAATCAAACAGAGTATGAGTCAACTGTTAAGGCAGAATAATAAATTTTCTTTTTCATTCACAACAGACAAATTTACTAAAAGTTCCAATCCTGCCACCTGTGACCACTCAAACAAACTACAGTAAGAGCTCCACAGACAAACAAAAGAATGGGGAATATCTCAAACAGCCCTGAGGCAGGAGAGTTCATGTGGAATATGTCAGCAATGGTGCACGAGGGAAAATCTCGTACAGAATACATCATATATGATGCAGAAAGAACTCTGCTATCACAGAACAGAACATAAAACTCTGTACAAATATATATACCCAAAGTGGAATTCAAACCCATCATCCCAGTAAATTAAGAAATCTGTACACGACTTGCAAAACAAATTTATTTTGCATGTGAACCACAATAATCTGTCTGTGCATTAAAATATATATTTATATGTATGTATGAGGTGTGATCATTAAATAACTGCAGTACTTTGTCCATGCTGAAATGAGAGACTACAGTCAGCTACCTTTGTTTCCATTTACAAATTACTGTCATGTGGCCTACAGAGCATTCAGTCCAGTCCAGCCTTTCACTACCCTGACGTCTAAGTCTCATGTTAGTTATGAGAGTGTAGTCACGGCATCTTAAAAATATGAAACGGCTGGTCATAATGTCTGAGGATGACATGACAGAAGCATTATGCCCTACTTACTCTGACAGGTATTTGGATTAAGAGAGTGATAACAGTGAAATCAATGACTAAGCTGAAATTAACACTATAATTAATGACGACAGTAATCAAGTTATGTTCTTGATATTGACTGGGAGGACATGATAAACTTTGCTCGTATGAGGGAAACCTTTATGAGCAACTCAGAATTTCAGAATTCACCATAAGGCATAACGGACATGGTGTACATTCTCAAACTGACTTTCACAGAACTTACCCTACTGCATGTAACAGAAACCAACTGTTATATTGAATAATATCTTAATTCAGGGAAGTGCCTATTTTCACTAGATCATGGAAATTAGTGGCAGAAGAAACATGTTCTGTGCTGGGGTTACTCATTCCAATGGGTGCAATTCAGATACCTACACTCCAATCATACTGGGTTACTGGGTGGTTCAAATATGACCGGGACTGATTTTCTTGTAAACAAGCTGCACTGCGCAGCAGCTGTGCGACCTTGAGAGAGTGAAGCCACAACCTCCACCCTCCCTCCTGTTAGGATTAGAACCTGTTCAGTCCTGTCTGGAAGTTGCTAGAGTGATGAGTGAACAGAAAGTACCACGGAGCATGGAACAAAGCATTGTGATCAAATTCCTCGTTGGAGAAAACGTCCCGTCCGCTGAAATTCACCACAGACTCCAACAACAGTATGGGGAAGAGTGTCTCTCATGGACCCTTGTGTTTGAGTGGTGTAAGTGCTTCAGAGAGGGCAGAGAGCGCGTGGAGAATGAACCGCATGATCGTCGGCCGCGAACATCCGTCACTGAGCCAAACATTAATCGTGCAGACGCACTTATTCATGAGAATAGGCGCTTCACTATCAAGCAACTTGGAGCAATGCTGTCCATCAGTGTTGGTAGTGTAGAAGACATCATGAAATACCACCTGCACTATCGCAAAGTGAATGCACGGTGGGTACCACGAACTTTGACAGATGTGAACAAAATGGTGCGCGTGCAAGTTGCCAGTCGTCTCCTACAGCAGTTTGAAGACGAAGGTGATGCATTTTTGAAGTCTGTAGTGACCACTGATTAAACGTTGGTGCACTACTTCATTCCCGAGTACCAGCAATCATCACGGGAGTGGCGGCATACCAGTTCTCCCAAACCCAAGAGAGCGCGGATGAGCCATTCGGCAGGAAAAGTGATGGCAACGTTCTTCTAAGACTGGCAGGGGTTATCCATGTAGACTTTCTGACAGATGCCAGAACAGTCAATGCAGCTTATTACTCAGACCTCCTGGCAACAGACATGAAGGAAAAGATCTGATCCAAGTGGAAGAGAGGTGGAAAGCGGGTAGCCTTCCTTCAAGACAATGCACGCCCCCATACAGCCAAAACAACAATGGAAACCCTCCAGAAATTGAAATGGAACCTTCTGACACATCCGCTGTACAGTCCCGATATGGCACGAAGTGATCTCTACCTGTTCGGAAGGCTCAAATCAGACTTGCAAGGCATGCGGTTTGTGGACGACACCATCATCCAGAATGTTCGGGAGTGGATACTTTTTTGAAAAGGGCATCAGAATGCTTCCAGAACATTGGAAAAAATGTATTGACTCCAGAGGGGAGTACATTGAAGACTGACATGTGCAAGTAGGTGTTTGGCAATTTTGGTTTAAAAAAAAAATCAGTCCCGGTCATATTTGAACCACCTTGTATTTCTCCACAAAAATGGTTCCATCAATACCAGACTTTAGTGATATCATCATAAGATACTGCCAGGAATGAATAAAAAAGTTTCATATCAACAGAAACTTAAGATATTTCCTGTTGCTTCACATATAAACATTTCAGGAACTGCCTCTAATATATGAAGACACCTGTAGACGAATCTATGGAAGAGAAATCTGTCATTCAAACAGTACCTTCCACTGAAGTCTTTAAAATCTGGGAGCAAAACATTTTAACTGTGATGCAGTGAGAGACTAGTTATGGTACTTCCTAGTTTACACTGACCAGAACAAGATACCTGAGTTCCTCCTCTACCACCTGACATGAAAACTGTCACCATTCCGACATTTGCTGAGTCCCTAATGAAGCAGGGGTAGGCTCGCAAAAACAAGAAAAAAGGGTTCATAAAAGGGACTGTATCAATGCTTTGAAAATGAACAGAAAAAAAAATGTTCTGAGAATTATGATAAGTTTGAAGCTAAACAAGGGTGAACTTACAGCACAGCATTCAGGATTTGTAAGGGTGATAAAAGAGCATGACAAACATATGACTATGATAACACTGTACCATAGACACATAGAGAAAAAAAGGAAAATCAAACCTATTGTACCTGTGTGGTGGATTACAACAGAGATGGGTGAGACTTTTGGGACTGTTTTAAAAATCTGCCCCTGCTGACTATCCTCAGTGAGCAGAAGCACAAGAAGATGTGTTGCAGGACGATCAACACTGCAGCACTTAAATAGTATGACTACACTGCGCGCACACGCACACACACACACACACACACACACACACACACAAAACTATCATTTGCAGTGCAGCTGGTAGAAGGTTCATTTGCTCAGCATCGGAACACTGTCCAGCACTCGTCAGATAACACAGCATTACAGCTCAGTGAAGGCATTTCATTTAGAAGATACAACAAACTGAGAAGATATGTTATGTGTACAAAACAGAGAAAAATGGCAGACACACAGTGCTGGCATTAAAGGTGACTATTCTCAAGACTACAACACTACAATTAACTATTGAGAGGTGATAACTACTACAGTGCAGACTTCCCTATGTCCAGTACAATTCACTTCTATGGTAAATGAACCGAATTTCACAGTCCCCGCCAAACAGTTTTGTAAATTCTGAGGGAAGCCAAATAATTTTTATGGGAGACATAGAATTTTCTTTTCATAACTGTACACATTTGGCCTTGAAATTTTTAAATATCTTCCACTCATGGGGAGCAGGGCCATTTACACATCCCCCTTTACTGAAGGGTTAATCACAATAATATTCCAAGATGCTCTGAAATATAATAAGCTACAGAACATGGCCAAATAGATCTATGAACCATCATGCTATCTGTATAGGCTGTAAGTACATATGAAATGACATTACTATAAATAAATTCTATTGGAAAGATCAAACATTACATCAAATTGTAACATTTACCTGACATATTTATCACAGATAAAGTAACTGTGGACAGTTGCAGGACTGCACTTACACACCTTATGCAACTCACCGATAATATTTAATGCTAAACTGCTTGAATGACTTAATAATTACAGTCTTTAACTAGCAATAGAATATATTCAGAAGTTCTTCTCTAGATCACAATGTTCAACAAGAGAACATTATAATACTTAGTATTTTTAAAATATTCATTTACCTCCTTTATCCACTGTAAGTTCTGTTTGATTCCTTCGTCCCACCTATCATTCCAGTACTTCACTGAGAAGCCTTCCATTTTTAATTCTTTTCTCAGCACTGTACGTTGAATGTCTGGAGCTGAAAATCGTTTGAATTATTAATTGGAACATTATGTCACCAATCGATGTGGCCTACTAAAATGTGATGTGCTGTCAGCATGCTAAGAAACATGTGATCTGACACCACTAAAGCCCGTTTTGTAATACTGATACAAAGTAGCCAGGGTATCATGACTACCTGAACATTTTCAGCAATCAATACTCCATCAAGGTGGGTCAGTCCAAAACCTTATGGCGTAAAAGCAGCTTGTCATTTCTTTTCCTTCCCTCATCATTCTATTGTTTTTGTTGCTACTCAGTTTATAAACTTACTGAATCTACAGCTCTTCACATGTACAGACTAATTAAACTGTTACATAAAAACAGTTTCACAGCTCCATATTACAGTAATACTCGTATAAGTACAGTGCATGCTTTCAACAGTCTGTATGCAAAATTAAAAGTTAAATGTTTAATGGCTGAACTCTAATTAATTATTTTATGTTCTGAAGTAATATTATAATATCATAGAGACATCTGGATTGAGATTTCTATAGCATATAAGTGGCAGCTGGGTTACAGTCCACACCAATGCATCAAATTTGTAATGTAAACAACAGTCATGCTTTAGTCTGAGAATATGTGGCTACATCTCATTTGCATAAATCATTTCCCATTCTATTACACATCACACACTTTCTGGTACTGCATAATATACACTGACGAGAACTGTCATGTTCTAGGCATCAGCCTATTAGACAGTCAATTTCTGGGAACTTCAAAGATGGATCAACTATTTATATTTTTATGACATTTTTTTTTTATCAGAAAGCTTGCTTACCCTGGGGAAGCTTGCTGATGTCAGCGTTGTAAGAAGAAATGGACCCACAAACTGAAATACGACCTCGGAATCTCATTTGTGAAATTACAGCACTGCTCAGTGCTCCACCAACCTAAGATTCAGACACTCGGTATATAAAATAATGATGACTATACAGCAGAATCTAATAATTGTTGACAATGTATAGACACTACTGATCACATTACAGAACACATAAAACAAAATTACAGTGAAGCAGAGGCAGTTCATTAAGAAATCAAATACAGATTAACAGAGGAATATCAGTTTTATATCAAACACATGCCTGATTTGGGAAATATAGAAATTAAACTATAGTATACTCCCAATTACATCAATACATGCTAATGAAAAGCAAAAGACACAAACACCCAAATACATTAACAGTATGTTGGAACAGATTACATCGGTGGTACAATAAACTCCACAAAATGCCAAAATCTCTTAGATCTCAATGTCTTACATATCCACAATTCTAGACTGCTACACATATGGAAAGGGAGAGGGGGTCACATATGAAGGTTACAAAACAATACTGGTGCCGTTCATCTGAAAATTTTCCAACTAAAAGTGCATGGCATCATATGCACATGAACGGCACTTTGAGACTTCCACTCAGAGGATTAATAAAACATTTTCTTTTTCATATTAGTGTAGTATATTTAGTTTTCAATACATAAGGCTTTAGTGAAATTATTACAACACTTTATTCAATTAGAAATATTTTTAGAATGTACAATACACACGATTATTTCCAAGATACTCACATTATCAAAATAGCAGTCTACACCTTCTGGAGTAGACTGTTTTAGAGCCTCTACAACATCTGTTGTCTTGTAGTTGAATGCTGCATCAAACCTGAGTTCATCCACCAGCCATTTCACTTTTTCATCCGATCCTGTGAACCCTATGACCTTGCAACCTGAAACAAGCAGTCAATCTAACTCATGTACAAGTGCATGCATTTTAATTGTACTTTAGAGTTATAAAATTAGAACATAATACAGAGGTCAAGTCTATCACCATGCATCATCTCACATGTAATGAAATAAATTTTGATGAGATGTGGTATAGTGATATCACACTAAAATATGTTAGACAAGAAGACACTTCACCTCAGTATTTCCTAGCTTGCTGCCATCAGGAACTCCAAAATGGCAGCTAAGTGAACCCTCAAGGGGGTTACAATACTACCATCACTTAATGTAGGGTCAGGGTATTCTGTGCAGTGACAGATGGATGAAAATTATGGAACTCTGGTTACAATAATTTTTCTGTAGAATGGGAAACATAATGGCAGAGATGAAATTTTTGTATTAAGTTTTCTCTTTAATGATCATACCAACTGAGTTAGGCAAGCAAAATTCTGCATTAACAGTAGCCACACGGATATTAATAAAGTAGCCTCCAGCGAACTGTTAACAAAACAAGCAAGAAAATTTTATTATATACAAAAATTCCTTACATACTTAAGCTATTTCTGAACACAGTCGCTGTCAAAATTGAGCCACGTTGTATCGAGGAATAAGTTTTTGTATGCCTGTGTCAAAGAAGCCTGTTGCCTGTGAGCTAAGCCATATTTTGTATTGTGAAACACTAAAAATATTGCGTAGGGCCATTCAGAATAGAAGACATGGAATGCTGACATCTGGTGTAGTGCTCCTCCATGACAATACACGTCCACATACAGCTGCTCACACTAAAGCACTGCTGGAGCATTTCAACTGGGACTTGTTTGAATACCCTCCTTACAGTCCTGATCTCAGCTTTGAGCAACTACCACCTGTCTGCTTACCTGAAAAAATGGTTGCAATCACAGCACTTTAACAATAGTGAGGAGTTGATGGAAGGTATCAAAACATGGCTGAGCTCACAGGCGGCAGACTTCATTGACAAAGGAATACAAAAACTTATTCCTCAATATGACAAGTGCCTCAATTCCGGTGGTGATTACTTTGGAAAGTTGCTTAAGTATTGTAACGTGTTGGGTTACTGAAGACGCCATAGAGATTGTTAATTGGTTTATTCAACAACCTACAAATCTCGGCTACAATTAATTATACAAAGTTGAGGGTTTCACACTTTATAACCCTATTCGCAATATTCAATTCGCTCTATTGTCAGTAGTCTACACGATTCACAGTACGGGAGCTATACAAGTGTCACTGTGTTACACACTCCCAATTAATTCTGTTATCACAAACCGTCGCTGATTATCACACATTCACTCATTCACTGCTGACTGGAGAGCTGTCTTCGGCACTGATACACTTTAACTCTCTCCGGGGACGGCTAAAAGTTAACTCGACTACAACTGAACTCAGCGATGGCCACATTTCAACTCACTCATGCTTACCGCTCAGCCAGCTTTTATTCCGTTCGCTGTTGCCTGTTGCCCGCGTCAACAGCTTCGTTGCATGCCACGTCACACTAGGAAGCGGTGCCGTGTCACAGTAGGAACCGGTGCCACGTCGTGTTTGCGTCACCGCGCGTTGCGTGTTACATCACCGTGGGGAGAGTGGCGGGGTGATGACTCGACTATTACCATAGTAACGAGAGCGCTACGTTACCGCCACGTACCGCTGGGGAGGTGGGGGTCCTCTGTTGCGCAACATGTCACAGTATGTACATATTTTTTGTATATAATAACTTATTTTTCTCATTGCTTGTTTTGTTAACAGCTCACCAAAGGTTATCAAAACAGCCCTCATATCTATATATTCTGTCCAAATCATAAGCTTTGTATGTCAACAATTACACAAATATCCAAGCATAAAATTTTGAGGTTATATCTGGCACAAACAACATAACTAGAACCTGTAAATTATGTACAGAATGGATTGCTAAATTATAGTTAATTAATTAATGTGTAATTACACTTTGTAGTTCTCTCCAGCCTCACCATATTGAGTGAAGCAAATGAAGAAAAGAAAGCAACATAATTCCTTCTGAGAACTATTTTTGGCAGTTGAATGTACCAGTTTATTAGTGCATAAACTGATCCGTGGAAATAAATTGCTTTCATAAAAATACTGAGCAATTTATGGACCCAGGGGGGATGAGAATCTTAAGACAGCTAATGAAGAGATGAAATTAAACCATAAACAGCCCACACAGTGGGCATGGTACATGACTTTCCTTGAACAGTTGACAGTTTCTCAAACCAGCTTTTACAGAACCTGAAGTTTTATCAGTATGTTACAAAACGGCTCAGCATCCTCAATCAGTTCAGTTCTTACTCTACCAATAACATGATGAAACTGATGAATAATATGAGAGAAGAAAAGAAATAAACATCATCCTATATGGTATATCATTCCTGGACTAATGATGTCTTTACTACAATGTAAGAAATCATGAAATCCCAGCTAATATTTGAGTAACCGTGACATAATAAATATTTTACGCTACATACGATGGGGTACCCAAAAGAAACCGAACTAATTTTCTTGTGGGGAGAGCTTTTGTAGTACCGCGTTTTGACGCTATGAGCGCATAGAGCTAACATTCCTGAGTCGATATGCCGACTACCGTTGCTTCAGAAGGTAAGGACTAGTTTCGGCAGAGTTTATAGTGACAACTGTTTTGTGTGATCGTCGTTTTTGCAATGGCTAATTTTCGTGAACAGCGTGCGGCGGTGAAATTCTGCTTTTTGCTCGGGAAAAGCGGAACAGAAACTCTTGAAATGTTAAAAACGGTGTACAAGGACGATGCTATGGGGAAAACTCAAGTGTCTGAGTGGTTTTCCGGTTTCAAAAATGGTGAAATGTCAATTGATGACAAACCTCGTTCTGGTCGTCCTTCCATGGCCCGAACACATGAAAATGTTAAAAAAATTCGTGAAATCATCAAGGAAGATCGACGACGGACCATTGAAGAAATTGTGGAGCTGTCGGGAGTGACTTGGAGCTGAGCGGCCAGATTTGTGGCAGTCGGGTGACTGGTTTTTCCATCATGACAATGGCCCTGCTCACACAGCCCTGTCTGTACGACAATTCTTGCCCAAAAATGGTATGACTCCTGTTCCTCACCCTCCATACTCACCCGACCTTGCCCCGTGCGACTTTTTTTTTTGTTTCCTCGAATGAAAAGAAACATGAAAGGAAAAAACGACGGAGACGCTGTCAAGCTTCTCAAAAGATGAATTTAGACAATGTTTTGAAAAATGGAATAAAAGACTAGACAAGTGTATTAGTGTAAGTGGAGAGTACTTTGAAGGGGATTGAAGGTTTGTGCTTAAAATTTGAATAAATAAGTTTAAAAAAAAATAAGTTTGGTTTCTTTTGGGTACCCCCTCGTAAATGTTACTTTATTAAGAAGCTGCTTTTGAAATAATAAGGTCAAATACTGTATGTAAAATATACAAAAGCACCATTCAATGTAATGTAGTCTCACGTTTCTTTTCGCAGTTTTCACTTCCATACTCAGTACCATATTTGCTAGGATGTATATATTAGCACCTTGATTATATTTCATACCAGAAGCATGGAGTTGGACATTGATCTGTAAGTCGTTTAATGGTACTGTATCAGCTAGAGGTTATTACACACTGAAACAGTTACTATTCAGGCATTCTCCTAAACAGATGGCAAATCACAATTCAGAATAGAAACAGCCTTAGCTGAGACTCAAACAAAGGACTGATTGAATACAATTAAAATGCACTACAGTTTAAGCTACTTCCTTGGTCATGTACTTGTTGCCAGGTATAATTTCTTCTGTGTTGTATCATGTACAATACTAATATTTAACGAGAATTCATCTGGCACATTGCAACACAGATCAGTAATCAAATAACTCAGCCTACCTTTCAGCTGAGCAATCTGTCCAACATGGCTACCAACTGCACCTGCTGCTCCACTGACCACTACAACATCTCCTGGCTTGGGGTCACATATCTCAAGGAATCCAAAGTAAGCTGTATTACTGAAATGCATTGAAATAATACACTGGTTTAAACTGTGTCAAAACAGGGTTCAAAAGAAAGATTAAGATGTACCAAGATTGATCAATGAATAAGGCATACACTCATGTGAAAGTACATTACAATTCTCCCCCATTAGTAAAATCATTGCTTATTTCGTTCTGTCAGTGATAAATTCCAAGATAAAATAGATTACACTCCATCACATAACAAATTGGTTAAAGAACCTAATGTGGATGTGTTACTATTCATGAACGTAAGTAAAGAACTTACAGTGCGGACTGTACAAAATTATACGTAAATGCATAAGTTCAGACTGAGGAAATATTTACTGCGCATATAAAGTAAACATTTCACTGATATCACAGGTGCAGAATTATGATACATTTTAACAGAGAAGTCACATACAATATATTCACAATTATCAATGTAGAGACTATCTCGTTTGCAGCATAACCCTTGTGCCCATACTTAGGTGTGTTCACAGTCCTAAGGAGCACACAGAAGGTTGCCCAGACCAGCCATCTGAATGCCAACCAAATGAATGCACATCCAGACTGGGCAATTTAGCAACTATTCTACATGAAGACCTGCATCCCTTTCTCCACATACCTCGAGCAAAACTAACTAAACATTTAATAACATGAAAAATGTTTTGGTCATATGTTCCAGAGAAAAATAAAACAAAGACTTATGTTTAGTAGACGTTTTTCTGAATAGCCTACAGCTTTGAAAATAATTAAATATACTAAATGCTAAGTGTACATTTCCAAATTTTGACATTCAGCAATCACCATTGTGAAAGCAGACCACAGAACATCTTTGATTACCCAGGTTTTTCAAATTATTAATACATCTTTCCCCTTTCATTCACACATATAATCAGGAGTAATCTGAATCAACAACATATACATAAGCAGTGGGCCTAACTGCTGACCCTTGCACCATGACCTTTAGTAATTTACTGTGTATATGTGTCAACAATACTCACCCTGGCATGCCCAGAACTCCAAGTGCAAGAGACAGAGGCAGACCAGAAAAATCTGGGATAATATATGGCTTCTCTAGCCACAACGAGGCTCCTGGGTCATCAGCATTTACAACAGCTCTGGTCTGCCATCCAAAGTCTCCTACAACATGCATTCCAACTTTATATTCTGGATGACAGCTCTCAGTGACTCTGAAAAGAGGTGAAGCACATATGAAATGAACTAAGAATGTTTTGAAGAAAGCAGTCTTCTGGGATTTGGCACCGTGTACATGTGGTGTTAACCGACGTTTCGGAGGAANGAAAGGCAAGGTTAAAGGCTGGGCACTAAGCTGGGGGGGGGAGTTGTTATGTTAGTCGGTCATGGCCTGTGTAGCCTTCTGGATATATATCTTCAATGTGCAAATTCTTGCTCTTAGACTGATACCAGGTAACAGTTCACTCATCACTGTGGCGTGTACAGTGCAAGTTCAATATGTCACACTGAGCTGCATCCCGCCTAGTGTCAAGGAGCTCGAGATAGTACATTCATCCAATGATTGTGCAAGGCTTTTAAAAGTGGCTGCAATGGGACCCAGTCTCTTAAATCATTGAGATAAAACATGCTGAAGGATTTAAGGTTCTCACAGCAGTGATTATGAAGGGTTATACTGTCAGGTGTCTGGGGTTCCGTGACAAATAATAATGGGTATTATTATTATTAGAGGGGTGGGTTTCCCCATGCACTTAGACCAGTTATTGGTTCATTGTGCGTCCCCCTTTAATTTCTACTGTCCCCATACCCTACCTGTGCTGGTGCGTGCTATCAGCCCCGTTCAGCCAACGAGGTCGGTACATGATATTTCCCCCATCTACCAGAGGCATTGGAAACTACTTGGGCAGGAAATTGTTGCCTAATTTAGCTCAGAGGTCTCCTAGAGACATGATCTTTTACGTGCCGTAAATCTACGACATGGGACCCACGGCTTAAAGTACCTCCCGGAGGACTTGTTCCCTGAATTTTTCCACCCTTAAAAATTCCACGACCTCCGCCGGGTTTGAACCCGCGTACCTTGAGTCATGAGGTGGGAACGTTAGCCCTAGACTACGGAGGCCACTAATAATAATGGGTAAAATCTTATACAATCAACTTGTACTTACAAGCTATCGCTAATTTACACAATTTACAGGTCACCGTTATACACACACTAGGATTCTCAGTCTCCACTAGTCTTATCCTGGTAATGTAATTAAAACAGTCACATTGTGACTAAATCTTCTAATCACACACCAAGGCTTCACAGGCTGACTTCTAATTATTCTTTAACTATTAACTTCCCGTAGCTACCTCATACAGAGAACTCCCATTCTTGTACTCTCTACTCTCTATTCTAATTCTCTAATTTCCCTAGCTACAAACAGATTCTCGTTAGCCTTGGGTCGGACCCATGGAGAACATCGTCTTCTCTTGTTAAGTACTATTGTTACCTGGCAATAAGTTGTAGCACGGTCCACAGAAAACACAGCTCCTATTGTTGGGTGTTTGCTGGAATGTGTATACTGAGTCATTGCCTAGAAATGGGTATATGTGTCACAGTATCATCCGGGATTTCACACCACACAGTACACAGATCTCTGTTTGCTATGTTTCGCACACTGGTTTATTGCATTCTTTGACCTTAAGATAAAGAGGATATGCTCCTAAAAGATGTCAGTTGACTTTCTATGTACTATGCAGCATTATATCCAAGAAGATAAAACTCTTCAAAACATACTGAATTTAGCATAAGTTTTCAAAACTTCAGAATCAAAGGTACAGCTAACTATTCCACCCGGAAGGATTTAGATAAGAATAAATCTATACTTTATTATAAACACATGCCATATATGAACAAGACATGTTGCAGCACATGAGAAGTATCATTTCAAGGTGCTATGAGCTACCCAACAGGCACATACTCACATGTACTAAGATGAGATCTCATACATAAATGTACAATGTGCAGAAAACTACAACATATTACCAACAGCCATTCAATTACCACAGTATTACAAACTGGAAAAGATGAAAATGAACACTGCATAGTATATAACTACAGAACACTGCTTCAGCAATGTGATCCAATTCAGGACTACAGAACTTTTCATCACACATTTATGTAACTTACTTGGCAACCTGTGTTCCTGTCATGGTGACTCCAGTAGGAAAATTATTTGAAAATGGCCTGGAAAATAAATGAATCTTTAGATAACATCAGTAACTCAGTATAAATTTTCTCCTGAAACTCTATTTGACACTTAAGAATGCAACTTCCACTCCACTGTCACATTGAGCCTGACAAATCTAAAATTCAAATTTCTTTGCTTTGTTCCATCATCATAAAGAGAAACACAGATACATCACACATTCATCGTTTTTTACAACATGTTTCAGCTCACTGAACCATCATCAGATATCTGACTTGCTCACATACACCTGTATTGGTGTGCCAGTATTCCTACACTGGCCAGTGCTGACATATTGGAATACCAGCTTTTTTTTTTTACTAATATGTAATGCCACTGTATATAAAATGGTGTGTTCACCTTTAAGATTAAATATTAATAGTTGTAGTTAAAATGTTAAATCACTAAAATCAAAAAGTGTTTATAAAAGGTTTCTTATGTTTTATCAGGGTGTAGTAGTTGTGCATAGCACTTCTACCAGTGTATTTCTCTGGGGTTCTTATGAGAAAATATGTGCTTTCTTTATATGGGGGGAGGGGCATGTTTTTTATCTTACCTTGTATTACTGCAATGTGTTTGAGGTGACTGAAAACTATAAATAAATTTCACGCACACAATATAACGCTAAAATATAATATTTCTAGCTAAAATTCAGACAAAATATATACAATCTACTGAGAACTGGAGGGTACTTGATAAGCAGTCTGAGTCGAAAGGCCAGAGGCTTATCTTACTTATAGACCTGGACTCTTATACTATTATACAGAGGACCGGTTACAAAATATTCACAGGACTCTCACAGGGGACTGTTAAGGTGTTGAATGATCCTGAAGTTCAGCACCAGGCAGAACCTGTGTCAGATACAGCATCATCCAACTCAGTATCTGAGGGGGGGGTGATGTACCCACTCCCTCAGTTGACCGGAAGAGAGTATCTGATGAGGAGACAATCCCTCCTCTAGTCAACCCGACCTTACCAGATCAGGGACCTCCCTTCGAGGAAACCATGTCCGATAAAGGAAAAAGTGCTGTGGAAGAAGTTATGGAGGACACCTTTCCCAGCATTACAGAACGAACACACAATACATACATACACACGTGACATTTACACACAACATTCGACTCATTCAAATTAACCGACACCACAGCAAGGCTGCTACGGCAATTTTAGGACGACAACTTGCTGAAGGAAAAGTAGACATAGCCCTTATTCAGGAACCTTGGATATATAGGGGCCAAATAAGAGGCTTAACGATTTCAGGGGGAACAGTCTACTCTGTGGCACCTGAAGAAAATGTGAGATCATGCATATATGTTAATAATCATATTAATGCTTTACCCTTACTGGAGTTCTGTTCCAGAGACACAATTGTGACTCGGATGAACCACCACCTTCCAAAGAAGTGAGGGACATCACTGAATATTGCCATCTTTGGAAGAAGCAGCTCATCATTGGGTGTGATACCAACGCGCACCACACACTGCGGGGAAGCATCGACATCAACCCAAGAGGAGAATGCCTCATGGAACATTTGGCGAGCTCAAACCTTAATATTCTAAATCAAGGTAACGAGCCTACCTTTGTGGTCTGCAATAGGCAGGAGGTTATCGACTTGACACTAGGGACAAATAAAATAGGAAACCTGATAAGTAATTGGCATGTATCTGATGAGCCATCCCTATTGGATCACAAATATACGTGTGCTTTCAAATAAGCAACATTACAGTAGATCAAGCTACAGGGGATGGACAAAAATATGGGAACACCTCGTGACATGCATGCCTGAATTGAAGTGTTTATTTTAGCGACGTTTGTAGGTCACGCTGTCGTATCTGCCCAACACCACTACCTGTACAACCTCCGCAATACGTTGCAAGCTTCATTTGTTGTCGAGACAGTGTTCCATAGCGTATTAAATCCGCGATCTTATCCACTAGCTCCTTATTACGCAACAGTTTCTGTCCTGCGTTAATAACGACAGACTTCTCTGCTAGCTACGGTTCAAATCTGCAGACAAAATCGTGTGACCTGCCAATCACCTTAAGATGTTGCCTGATATCAAACGACAAGGTTGAATGGTTGCCACGTGCTTCGTATCCCGCCCGAGATTGAATGGGGCGGGGGGAGTCCACTCATATTTTCAATCCCGTCATTCAAATGTTGGTATAGTACCTTATATCAATCGCTTCCTTCTGTGTAGATCATTGGTTCCCAGATTTTCTAACATTAGAGCCTCTTTTGGTGTTCATCAAACAGCCCCCATGCCCCGTATCAATTTATTTTACTGAAATAAAAGAACTCGTAGATTCTAAAGGGCTCTGACGATGGTGTATAACAATCGTAATTACACACAGACACAAGAGAGGGTCATAGGACAGCCTGAGATGAAGCCAGGATTTTGGAAATTAAAAGTGACAGCAGATATATGAAATACAAGGAATCGGCCCATATGGCATGTTTAACCAATCCGATCAGCCAGCCCAGTTTGGATACTTCACCCATTTGGATCCTCCTTATCAACAATAGGGTTAGCAACTCACAGACACGATCAGGTATGGCGACTCATTCTTCTTGGGTTTCTATAAGAATTTAATCCCGATGTTTCAGTTTTTATTCCACAGACAGCACTACTGGTAGACAAAAACAAAGAAGTTTTCACATCAGGGGCCGGATGGGCATTGCCTAGGACTTTTTTATACTTACAATTATTTTTACCAACAAAAAAGATTTCACAACATGAAATTCTCCGCTTAATCCTATGATGCATTGTTAAGTGTTCTCTAGTGAGTGTTTAACCTCCGTTACCTGGCCATGGACGACTTTTCTCGTTAAACAATTCCGGCCTTCAACCTTCAAGTGTCACTATATTATTGTATCTGACCAACTAACACGTAATTACTACGATACAAAAACTGTGCGTAAAAAAAATATAATATTAAAATGTTGCACTGTGCACTCTATAAGTGGCGAATCTTCCAATATAATCGCTAAACTCTGTTCCTTAATATCTGGAGTAACATTTCTGACAGGTGATTATGGAAGAGACGATTAAATGCAGCTAGAAAGAATTCTTTCAGCTGAATATGACAGAAGTTTTATCCGTGCCCCCCCCCCTCAAGGGAACCACTTCACGTGCCCACCCCCGCAGGAGGATGGGCCATCACGGTTCGGAACCACTGTTTCATACCCTTCCCTATCTGTCATTCATTGCCAGAATCCTGACGTTCGGAGCAACACAACCTCTGCAGCTGGAAAACGACAGTACGTTGGCTCACGCTGTTAACATGTCAGCAAGAAACAAAGCAACAGCAGAGCATGTGATAACTACCAAACACATTTTACTTCTCCATGCTAAGGGAGTTACTCAGGCTTACGTCCCACTGAATATTTCACTTGAAACTACTAGAACAAACAGTAACAGGCATACAGGAGGCGTAAATATTTATTATAAGCTGTGATGATTATAATTATGTAGGTTGGGATTTGTTGTTATTTATGTACTTACATAATGTGATATGAATGCTAAAAGCCGGACCAATGGAACAAAAGCAGGGGGCCGTTGCTATGCAACGGCGCAGTAAACACGTTTCCAGAGCAACGAATCAACACGCATCAACAGAGGAACTGCTGGAAGCAGTGTTTTCTATGGTCCGTGCACAGTCCGTTGCTACGCAATGGTGCAGTAAACACATCTCTGAACAATGAATGAACACGCAACAATAGATGAAGCGGTGTTTTCTGCATGGTCCGTTCTAAGGCTATATAACGAGGATCAATGGAAAAAGTTAGCAGCTGTGAGTTTCCAGTCGACGTTGGGGGTTGGCCGTGAGCACGGAAGCAGACGGATCTCCACTGTTACAAGCAGCTACCAAGCAAGATATAAACTGAAAACACTTAGTATGTACTATAGATCTGTAGTTACGAAATACAGGCGTTCAGTAAATCCATTTATCAATTCAAACCCTGTGTCTAGTCAGTGACACGTGACAGAAGTAGGACTGGATTGACTGTATTAAAGCCGACGTGACAGCTAACTACAGAGGACATGGAAAATTTGATAGCTACCATACGGGAAATGCAAGTCGGTCAACAAATGATAGTGGCTGATATTAAAGCCACAAGAGCTGACCAAAGAGAGATGGCAAGCATATGGACCCGCCAAAAGAATACGAGAACGGCGACAGAACATCTTCGATCCACCCAGGCCGACTTGGAAAAGACTTTTAGCACGCGAGTACAACGCATCATGAAATCCACGGACGAACGCATACGAAGCCTCCGTGAGATCAGTACACACGAAACTTTCATCACGCGCCTCGGCAAGAAAGAAGTGATGAATACGCTGTCTGAAGCCACGAAGCGTGGGCTCGAGACAAAACTGGAGGAAGCCGAAGACCAAGTGTGCCATAAGGGCAGCGGCAACGCTGAAATCTGCGTACATAAAAAGAGGCCGCAGCTGCCAGAGACTACAAGTAGCAGGACAAAGCGACTTCAGTGCTTGCCGAGTGGGGGCACCACCCAGAAGGATTTCACGGAACAAGATCGACCGAAACGAGAATACACGAAAAAAATGACGTCTGTGACATCAAAGCCGCCTACTCATTACAAAACCGCTCTGTGCGAACGAGTATGTTCAAACCTAAGGGCCATTGGACGGATAGGTGACAAGCCTTGTTTTGTGACTGTTGACACAGGAGCATCCGTGACTTTTGCCAGACCGGACATTGCAGCAGGGCTGCCCGAGAGAGAATTGACCAGGCGGATGTACCTGCGGTCGGTATCAGGACAAATTACCCCCATTTTGAAGGAAGCTTTCGTAAAACTGACACTGGGTGAGTGCCTACTAATGGCCTGGGTATTCGTCGCCGATATTATAGAGGAGTTCACGTTGGGACTTGACGTTATGTACGCCCACAGTGCAGTCGTGGATTTGGGGCGCCACGTGCTACGACTTGGCGAAAAGGAAGTACCACTAACACGTCCGAAGCGAGTAAGTTCAAATCTCTTTACGAGCAAGTGCTACACAGCATATGTTCCACATGATACAGAAGCGGCGGCAGGCCTGGAAGGATGCGATGAAAAGCTTCCCCAAGGACGGTGTAATGAAATAGTGCAACAGGGTGCAATGAAAGAGTTTCATTTTATTACTTTATAGTTTCATACAATGATTTTAATTTCATCTAGTTGGCTGAGGCACTATGATACAAGCCGGGAGGTCGCGGGTTCAAGTCCCGATGAGGTCATTGGATTTCTTTCAATTGATGTAATCCTTCCAGCCGCACTGTGGCCCCGGGGTCTAACAGAAATGAGTAATACAAAAAGCAAAGCTATCCCTGTACCAGGCCGTGAAGGCCCATAGGGTTGTGAGATATTGAGGATCCCACACTGGCGGTAAGGTTGTCAGCCTTACGCGCCGGCCGCGCTTTACCGGCCAGGAAAATTATTTAATTAATTCCTGGTACTCATTTCTGTTAGAGGATGAGTAAACCCCAGGGCCTAGTGCGGCTGGAAGGATTAGGTCAACTGAAAAAAATCCAATGACCTCATCGGGACTTGAAACGGCGACCTTCCGGCTTGTAGCAACCAACTACGCTGCCGCGCGCCCCAACAGAAATGAGTACCAGAAATATTCTTGGCGGCCGGCGCGTAGGGCTGACAACCTTGCGGCCATCTATGAGTCGACTGTCTAGCAAATGTGGGAACCTCCACGGCCACTTATAGGGATACCATTACTTTTTTACTTTTATGTGGAAAAAAATCGTGTTCCTTACAACTAAGAAAGGGGAAACTTCGTAAAGGGCGAAGAAACTCCTGTGAAATTTCAAATGCTTGAATACTCGAGACTTGCCCTAAGATCATCAGCTGTGTTCACATGAACTCTGAGTTGGGTGTAATTATCATATGTTTAAGCTCCGCCACCTAAGGGAATAGAGTATTACTGTAAAATTTCCTCTTATTCTTCATTGTATCACTGGTGCCAACCAGTCTGTAAAGGTAAAAAGGTAAGGTAAAATTGTCTCCATGCTTAACTAATTAAGCATTACGTCATGAAGACGTATGGGGGAGTGGATGTATAATTCCACATTTTCTTTACCTCGGCACTACCTGGAGGTGAGTGGTCAGCTTCATGGCCCGACCGCTTTAGCCCCGGGAAAGAGCCCTCGGTACCCATTGTATAGGTTGGGTGGACCCCAGAGCCGATCTGGACGATTGGAGAAGGGAAAATTCTAGACCCTACCGGGACTTGAACTCCGACCCCTCAATCGTCCAGCCCATAAGCAGTCGCTATACCGACTACGTTATCCCTGTACATCTATTATCTATATTGTAGCGTGGATGGGCAGAGCGTTTCTAGGCAGCGACCTGTAAACAACCTCCAGGCGCGTAAAGGGCACTCAACAATAGCATGAATGTTTATAGTTCGTTGCTAGGCAACAGTCAGCGCGCCAATAGGATGGCAATATGGCTATCACGTGACTGCCTTTCTATGGAGTCCGTGCCGCGACCGTTGCTATGCAATGTAGCGGTAAACACTCCTTCACAATACTTTTCTGTGAGTGGTCGGTGCGGAGGCTATATAACGACAGTTACAAATACAGTAGAACTTGGTTATAACGTCATCAAAGGGACCTAAAAATAGTGTCGTTATAAACGAGTGTCGTTGTAACCGAAATGGGCACTTCCACAGTAGCCTTATGTTAGTCACGAAAAATCTACCAAAAACCGAGTTAAAATGTTGCATTTTTTAGTGAAATACGTAGTTAAGTACAGACTAACGTAACATTAACATGGAATTGCCCAAATGTGTAATATCAAAGACATATTACAGCGCTTTTCACTGACAATACACACCGCACTAATACTGTATATTAAAGGTAGGCCTACTCACCAAATTACAGTAGATTACATCAATTGTTGTGCCTTACTGTACCTAGATACGAGTACAGTAATCAGTTATCTTCATCTGTTTCCTGTTACTTGCCCAATACACACTTTCTAAATTACGTTCAATGTCCATATCAGAGAAATTCAGGAATGAAAATGACGTTACATACGAGGTTGATGCATTTGTGCATGTCGTACTAAGCAAGGTATAAAAACAGTTGTTTTATGAGGAATTAGTTCGTACCATTGAATATTTGACGCAATAGACAAGGTGTCGCAGAAACCGATGTTGCTATAACCAAGTTTTACTGTATAATATTAACAGGTTTCAGTTTTTAAGTGACAGTGAGAGAGTTCTCGATATGAGACAGCCACGGGATGTTCATAGAAGCCCAGTGAAGACTGTGTTCATGTGTAATATTGGGAGTGTATGATCCAGTGAGACTGCTATAGTTTCTGTGTTGAGATCTGTGAAGACTGGGAATCGTAGAGTGTGTGCAACAGTGAATTATGAAGTGTGTGTGTAAATCAGCGATAGAGCTGTATTGTTTGTAATTAAATGTGATTAAGAGGGGTTGTAACAGAAATGTAAATAAATCTAACCATCAGAACTAGAACCCGTCATTTTCGTCACGTGTACCACCAAACACGTGACAATATGTATATTGAACGTAGTTAAGTGAAGAACTCTTATCATTTTATGAACTTAAATATTCCTGACTACACCAGCCTCCTACGCATCCCAACAACAACAAAATCATCACAACTGGTTCCTGGGCCACCCATCAAGCTAAAGCGAGAACGCCAGCACAATGGCAGAGAAGTTTGTCTGAGGTCGGAGTCGGCGGTTAGAGGTTAGTGGTGAGTGAGCAGAGAAGTAGACGACTCGACACTGTTAGACTTGTATCTAGTAGTGGCGTGCCATATAGCTCAGGTGGTTAGACGCCGACTTCCCATCGCGGCGGTCTGGTTCAAGCCCAGGTCAGGTCATGTGAGATTTGTGGTGGACGAAATGGCAGTGGGGAAGGTTTCGTCCAAGTACTTCAGTTTCCCAGTCCACCCACCGCTTGACACTCATCATCTATTATCCGGGGCTGGTACAATAGGCCAGTTACTGGCAGACATATAAAGTGGACTCAGCCTCACCCCATACCACTAAATTACACTTACAATTACAAGTTGTGTTGTAGATGTCACTTGGTGCAGAAGTTTGTCCTAGGTGTGGAATACTAAGTCATGAAATTTTATTAAGATCTTAAATGTGTTCAACTGTCAAACGCAACAATGTGTTATTGATTAATTAATTAATTAATGGAATCCTCAGTTACTCCTTATGGATTATGAAGTTCATTGTTATTTCTTGTCATGTGTCCAGGATGCAGCAGGTTGCAGTACTCAGAGGTGAAATATCTCGGATGGGAATCTTCTGGTAAGCTACAAAGCCATTCAGACTACGAGCAATACCTTTCATTCTGGTCCATTCACATAAAAAATATGAAACCTGTCATTACGACAATTCTGGGTTGCCACAGCAACGAATTCTCGAATGACAATGTGCTGCATGAACAGAAGTTATGCAGTGGACCACAAACGAGCAAGAAGTTTTTACTTCATTACATCATGTCTATTTTGTCAGAACTGATACTTTGATGTGGATATGTGAAGCACAATACATCTATTTACAGGGGCCGGTTCAAGATTGACTATTTGTATGTGTTATTTCTTTGAGATGGCGTTAAATGTCGGCCTCGAAATATCATTCGGTAACATGCAGGACTGGAAAGGAATGTGGGATAAAGGAGGGGAAGTTAATAGTACAGAGGCTTATACGACAACTGATGAGGCTTCCCAGTGAATTCTCAATGGGTGCGTGAGTTTACAAAACATAAATACCGTGCACCTGTCTCCTGCCATTTCATTTCACGCCATGCTTGCAGAGAGGGAAGGAACAGAATACCATATTTTTGCCTGTACTCAATGGGATAGCTCAGTTGGTATAGCGACAGGCTACAGGCTGCACAAAATATTTTCTCTACTCCACAGCATCCAGATTAGACCTGGGGCTCATCCAGCCCCCAACTGAAAATGTACCAGGGACTTTACTACGGCCAGGGCGTGAAGTTGACCACCTCCATTCAGTGCTGGGAACAAGAATGGTGGAGATATACTTCCACTCACCCATATGTCATGGTGCCGTGCGTAATTAATTGGACATACGAACAACTTCAAGTTCACTTTAACTTACATAAAAGTAAGCCTATACAGTTACTGCTATGTCTAACTGCAAGAAATAATTGAATTGTCACTTTCTGGATGAACATTAACTGTAGCAGTGGATTCTTCATAAGACAGAGAAGGAAACTGGAGAGATGTCAGCAAGATAAAAGTATGAGTAACTCCAAAAATAAGCGGCCTCCGTAGTCTAGAGGTAACGTTCCCACTTCATGACTCGTGGTACGCGGGTTCAAATACCCGGCGGAGGTCGTCGAATTTTTAAGGGCGGAAAAATTCAGGGAACAAGTCCTCCGGGAGGGACTTTAAGCTGTGTGTCCCATGTCATAACTTTACGGCACGTAAAAGAACCTCATATCCCCAAAGGGGATCACTGAGCCAAATTCCAGGACGTTTCCCGCCCAACAATAGCCTCTAAGGCCTCTGATAGATGGGGCAAGCATTATAGACACCGCTAAGCAAGTGGCCGAACACGCTTGCTCGGCGGGACTGATGGTACGCACCATTTATCGGTAGGGTAAAGAGACTGGTAGAATATCATAGAGGGAAGCACAATAGATCAAATTGGTCGCGGTGCATGGGGAAACCCACCCTCTCTAAATAACTAACTCCAAAAATAAATAACAATGATAATAGATTACAAAGCTAGTCATATGGGCTTAAGCATTATCTGACATCTCTCTACTCCTCAATAACCTGATGCTGTGTCTAACTGGGAAGAAATGCTTGTATGGAATGGTTAGTTCAACAAACAAAAATAATTTCTACCTTTTCGCACAATCTGATGGTTGTCTGCCGGGTTCAATAGGACCTGTCACTAGACTCAGTCCTATAGATAAATGAATCCAGTTCATATCCTAAGATACGTATAATTTCTATTGGGCAACACTATCAACCTCCAACTGCTGTCTTCCCTCGAGATTTTCCATTTAAAATCTGTATCAATCTCTCCAATCATGTTACATATCCCGTCTATCACACCCCCTTTCTCTGATCAAGAACAGTACTATTTCACAATGCGCTGAACTATTACAAATTACGAAAAGTTCTTCAATATGTAACACCACGTAATTTTCTACATCATACTGTCATTTCCTCTCTATCAGCTACAAACAATGCCCTCAGCACTTACGGCTGTTGAGATTCACATCATGGGTCTTATAGGAAATTGTGCTCTCGGAGATATGCATAAACGTTTCGTGAGAACATACTGCTTCAGTCTTCAGGAATGTAACAGTATGATCCTTCAAAATGTTAGTTGCTACTACCTACCTGACTGTAAAATGGTGCAATAACCAAGAACACCATAATCTAAATCGCAACACAATTACAGTCAGAGGTGGACAAATTGCATTCCTCCGACTTGGGGAACTACTGTGACAACTTTGTTTATAATATAGGGTGATTCATATTGAACCGGCCTGATGAAATGAGCTGTAATATAAAATATACCATACAGATATTAAAGTAATTTATACATGTCTTATCTTAGACTGTGTGCCGTGATCAGAGCAGGTGTTGAAAGTGTCCGCCGTTTTCAAGTTGGCACTAGAAACACTCGCTGTTCAACAGTATACTCCATGCCTGTCGCCTGCGCGCTGCAGACACGTTCGGGACTGTCCTTGACCTTGCAGCATAAGGGCTGCCACTTGCCAGATCATGCACACACCATTCGACTCAGCACGGCCCACGGATTATTATGTCGTAATTGTGAGCGGTTATATGCATCACCTGCAGAATTATTAGCAAATTCATCAGGCCGGTTCTATACGATTCACCCTGTATTTGCTTCTATACATATATATTGTCATACGTAGGGGGTATGCATGACTGATATTGTGAGTTCTAGATTTGACTGATTGGATTTATTAGGCATCTGTATTACAGTCTCACTTGACTACAATAGTTCACACATTTGACTCCTTCTGGATAACGAATCTCTCAATGTTGTCTGGATCTTGCACTAGCCTCTAGTCTTCTCTTCTTTATCCTTCTGTCGTATTCAGTCTTCTTTTGGTCAGATCTCTTCCTGAGGTAGGTTCTGGTTGAACCATATGGAGATCACCTCCTTGAAGCGTTCTCCTTCTGCATTTCCAATGTAACTGCCCGTTTCTGTATCCATTGCCTAGTAGGCGTCTTCAGTAGTTCTCCTGTTGCTGTGATTATTGAGACCTTCACTACTAAGTAACCAAATTTCTGTTGTTGACTGTGTTACATGGGTTTTCCTGGTTCCATATCTTAATGCTTTGAGTGGTTCGTTGCTGTGGATATTGACTTTCAATCAGTTAAAGTTACACTGCATGTATCAGAACCCTAGTAACTGGAGTTCAGTAGTTGTCTGTATTAGCTAGCTAAGCATGTTACAATATATTAAACAAGTTCTGGGAAAAACTAATCGCCCACTTTCCTTAATACAGCACAGAACGCATGGAACATGACTGGTCCAACAATTCGTCTATTGCTGCATGTGTATTTCTTTCCAAGATAACATATTTATTGAGCTGCTGCCTAGCAACCAGGGGGGGGGGCGAGCAGTTGCCTTGCAACATTAGGGGGATTCACACATGGACAAACATACAAGGTCCGTATAAAAAGTATCGGGAAAAATCTTTCCCTTACGTGACTGTACACCTCAGCATGCTCGCACCGCGCAGGCGTGGTAGTGGGGGTCTAACCTTTAACACGCACCAAGCGCCATTCGCCTGAGCACGTTCGTAGAGGCCAGGCCGTGTTTTCAGTGGACCCCTGTCGAGTGAATCGGTGCAAGTGCAGAATGCATCAAGTTTTGTGTTGGACTGGGGAAATCGGGTACGGAGACGTTGGGCATGATTCGCCAAGTGTTCAAGGATGAAAGCATGTCACAAACTGTAGTTTTTAAGTGGCACAAGCTCTTCAAAAGTGGCCGACAGAGTGTGGAGGATGAGCCCCGCGGTGGACGGCCGTCGACGTCAAGAACCGACGACAATGTGCAACGTGTGCGTGACGTACTCAATTCAGACTGTTGGTTAAGTGTGTGCATGATTGCAGATCGTGTTGGCATTGATAAGATGACGGTGCACACCATTATCACCGAAGATTTGGCAATGCAAAAGGTCTGCTTGAAACTCGTCCCGAAGGTCTTGACGGACGACCAAAAGCAGAGACGAGTGGCTGCTTGCGAAGACCTTCTGCAACGCGTTGAGGAAGACCCTGGCTTTCTGGACAATGTCATCACGGAAGACGAAAGTTGGATATTCGAGTACGATCCAGAAACAAAGCGTCAAAGTTCCGAATGGCACACTTCGGCATCACCTCGTCCAAAAAAGGCGCGAATGAGCAAATCCAGAATGAAAACCATGCTCATCGTTTTCTTTGACGCCCAGGGGGTGGTCCACTACGAATTTGCACCTGAGGGGCAAACAGTGAATGGAGCTTTTTACCTGGAAGTGCTAAGAAGAATGAAGAGAAGGGTCAATCGGGTGATGCCAGCCATCGCCAGAAATTGGAAACTGCATCATGACAATGCACCCAGTCACACCTGCTCCAAGGTGACCGACTACCTGACAAAAACGGCATCGCGACGGTACCCCAACCCCCTACAGTCCCGACTTGGCACCAGCAGACTTTTTCCTGTTCCCGAAAGTGAAATCCTCCCTCAAAGGGCACCATCATGGGACCCCGAGTGCCGTCAAAGAGGCTTGCATGCGGACCCTTAAGGACCTTCCGGAATCTGCCTACCAGGGAGCCTTTGTGTCGTGGCAATGCCGTTGGCAAAAGTGTATCGATGCACAAGGGATGTATTTTGAAGAATTTTGAGGCATTGTAGCAATATCTGAAATAAATCTATTTTCCCGGAACTTTTCCCGATACTTTTTATACGGACCTTGAACTTATGGGAGAGATTTTTAAAGTACACCAATAATATGGGTTCGGGTACCATGACATGGCAAGTTTCTTAAAGATGGGTTCAGCCATTCAAAATCTGATGGGAGGGAGACAGGGACATGGAGACAGCATGGAGATCGCAAAAGCCTACTTTAATTTTTCAAAATGAGGAAAGTATGCTAACAAAAATGTTGCCAGAATGAGCAACAAGCTCTAACGTTAAATCCTTAACTCGACATGAACTGTTTTACTAATCAACATTGTCAATACTTATTCATGCTGTAAATAACACTAATTAAGATAAGTTTACAACCTTCATTTACATTAAATCCAGTGCCTACCTTTACAATAATTTTGAAGCAGAGGTTCCTGAGGTTTGAAAATAATTTCAAGGGTACCTTGAAGGTAAAAAGAACCACATATTTTGCCACATCGGCTTAAAGGAGTCCACTACTGAGAACTGTTAAATGGTTTGCCCAGCTTACTACAAGATGAATCACTGGTGGCCAGAGAATACATGTGATTCATGCATGATGGTGCTCCAGCACATTTCAGCCATGGTGTGCCAGATCTACTCAACAGTACCTATCATAACAAATGCACAGGTAGAGGAAGTTGCACTGCATGGCTCCCACAATCACCTGATTTGAATCCTCTGGATTTCTATGTGTGGAGGCACTTAAAATCCTTTTATCTCTTCAAATCCTCTTTGCAATGTGGGTACACTTCACCAGCACATTATGAACGCCTGCCAGACTATCTGCAACTATCCCTGGGATCTTTCATGGGTTTAACTGTACACAGTAAGACATGCCCAAACTTATATTATTAAGTCTCTTGGGGGCACATTTTAAGCACTAGTAAATGCGTCATTTCAGCATAAATACTCAACGAAGCGTTTGTGGACCCATATTTATATTAACCTGTTTTCTTGTTTTGGTACATGAAACTCATTCCCAAACTTTGTCCATAAATTTCAGATTCACCCTGCATACTGCTACTTCTAATGTTAGGTATATGGTCTGAAAACCTGACAGAAATGAAGAACACTACGCATATTACACTCAAAAGAGAATATTCAGGAGCAGTTGGAACTAAAATCTACAAATATATAGTATCTGTTTTCTAATGGAACATAAAGGCACACAAAAGAGAATATTCAGGAGCAGTTGGAACTAAAATCTACAAATATATAGTATCTGTTTTCTAATGGAACATAAAGGCATCTCTTGCTCCAGGTCTGACATTGGGTTCAGGAGTTAAAATGAACACCTACACAAAGAGCCACAAACATTTTCACAGTATGCACAAACACAGAGTATATGAAATGAACTAATATTTACCTCATATAAGGATCTACACTCAGCCAAACAGCTTCACAGAGGATTTCTAAAATGTAAAATGTATACACATTTTAAAAAACATGATAATACCAGTTTGTAGATAGACTCACAAGAAAATCAAACCAGAAGCTTCTACATACTACTCGTAAATATATTATTTGTTTGTGAATTAAATATTAGATCTGTAGATTACTATATCTGAGTCTTTGTTTCAAGATATAAAAAGGTGAATTTGTTCCTGTGCTTAATTAATTCAACACTATGCCATGAAGACATATGTGACAGCACACAATGCTGTTTATATGGCATATCATGTAAAAGACTTTCAACTGATATTTGTATATACTATATTCCTAAGAAATGAGCTTAGTAAGATATTGTGACGTGGATGGTGCAACAGGAAGTAGGGGTCATGTGAACTCTGGTTTCGCGAGTGACGTCACTCCTTCCACAAGTATGCAACGCTCGGTGGGCGCCCCCTCCGCCACGGTGACGTGGCAGTGATTCCCACAGTGACATAGTGGGGGGATGTTGCGGTTGCTATGCAGCAGTAAACAAGTCTCGACAGCGTTGTCCAGCAACACCTGCAAACACGGTGACTAGGCAACAAGGACGCAAGGCATTTTCCCGTTGTCTGGCTGAGGGTTTATAAGATAACCACACTGCCTAAGGAGTCAGTTAAAATGTAGCAGCCGCCAAAAACAGTTGAAATATAGCAGCAGTCGCGGAAAGAAGACCCGAACGCGTGGTTAGAAGATCTTAGTGATAGTGTGCAATAACTGAGAAGTCAGCCAGTGAAGACTTACTGTGTGACTTAAAGACTCTGTGTGTGCTGTAGTACAGTTATATTGGGAGTGTGTAATTAAGAGAGACTTGTATAGCTCCCGTGTTATAAATACGTGAAGACTACTGAAGACAGAGTGAATATGTTATTGTGCAGGGTTTATTAATTGGGTAAACCCGCAACTGTGTTATAATTAATTGTAGTTGCGATTTGTAGGTTGTTAAATAAACCAATTAACAATCCAAACGGCGTCTTCAGTGGCAAAACATGTTACAGTATTAATGTCTAGTTGATGAATTGTACATGTTGGTTAAATTATTGAATTGTATAATTATTGTTCCTTTTATGAATGTGGCTGTAACAGGACTAGTTTCTGTTCTCAGAACTAATGTACATAAATTGTGACATGTTCTATATCCAGATGGCTTTGGTAGCCAGTAAGGATCTATGGAAATGGAATTAAAGATACAAGATACAAGTATAGCTCCACTCTTCTTGACCTTGGCTTTAGATGGAGGTGTATCAACTTCACACCCCAGCCTCTTTATCCCTGGGGAAAGAGACCCCATTACCCACTGGATAAGAGGCTGGGTGCTGTGGAGTAGACAGAAATCTTTCACCCCTGCCAGGAATTGAATCTTGCCATCAAGCCATAGCCTGTCACTGTACCAAGTGAGCTCTGAGGCGCTTGACAACTAAACACATTATTCACATACAGTAGCACATCTGTATCTCAGTTATACAGGTGTTGTTATTCTTGCACTTAATTAAGCATCACACCACGAAGATATGTGAGCAAGTGAGGGTTTAGCTCCACCATTCTTCACTTCAGTACTATAGACCTGACTTCTCAGCTTCGTACACCCCAGGGAAGAGTTCCTGGTACACACTATAGAGGGGCTGGCTGGCCCTCAGAGCAGGCATGGAGGTTGCAGAGAAAAGGTAAATCTCTTGTCCCTGCCAGGAATCAAATAGTGATTCCTCAGCTATCTACCCCACTGCTGTACTGACTGGGCTATTCAAAACCATAATATATCTTATATACCTTAGCACATCTAAGATATATTATGAAAAATATCAGTAGATAAAAAAAAAGACCCAGAAAAAGTTGTAGCCCTTAATGAAACAAATATATGTTACTGATATTTCTTTACCTTTGTTTCTTTGAACAGCAGCTGTTAAATACAACACACAGTTGTTTTATAAGTATGTATATAATATACAGCACTTCCTTCTGGAAAAAGTTGACAATACTCAGGAAGCAAAACACACAACCTAAATCATACTTTTATCCTGGTTACCTCCCTTAGAGAATAACAGATGCTACATACCACCACAAAAATACGGTTATATACCTACATGGTGTATATGTAATATAATTGCTCTACCAAATTTGTTTGTTTATAAAATGACCTTAATATATTGTAACATGTTGCGCGACTGAGAACCCCCCTCCACCCTCCTCTCCACGGTAACGTAGCGCTCCCCGCCACTCCCCTCCG